TCTATCATTTCATCCCCTTCATCGCTTAAGTCTTTCCAGCTCTCTCCCAGAGTTTGGATCCCATTCCGGGTCCTCCCTTGGCATAGCCCCATTAATGTGATCTTGTGCATATTTGTGCTTCCATTCTTCTTTAACTTTCTCCAAAACTTACTTGCTTTTTCTCAGTAGTGAGGAGAGTTTCTAAATGTGCCTGGATATCCCACCAGGTGGGGTTTTGTGTCATCATTATTGTTTTGAGTAGCCCATGTATTCCCTCTGGATTTCATTGATACGTCCCCATAGATTTTTTCCAGTTTGACAAGTCCAACGCTGTAAAAGGGACATGTAGATAAACAAGTTGTCCCTTCATCCCGACTGCTTGTCTTAGAGATGCTTGAATAGCAGGATGTGCTGTCCCCTCATTCTCCTGGCTATGGGACTGAAATCCACATTCTCCAATCCCCTACTCGTCCCACCTTTGCTTCCCCAGTGAACTGGGTAAATAAGGGTTAAGATTTTTTAGCAGAAAACAGAAGACTGAAATGTGCTACATTCCTTAGATAAGGGGAGTAGGAGTCTCTTATCTATGGTGTAAAAGTTCTCCTTGGCTAAGCAGAATCCAGCTGTAGGCCTCTTGAGGTTACCAGCTCAGCTAATCTGTGAGGAAGACTTCGAGCCTTCATCCCAAAGACCCCGGCCCACAACCACCAGATGGCAGTGCACATGCGGAATTAGGGGGACACTTTTTGTAAATTTATGTTTGGATATAATTAGCATAAGTAATGCATATTCTAAGAATATAATGAATATGTACTATGACCTCATGAATATGCATGTAACTGCTAGATAAAAATGGACCTTTACTGATGCAGGCTGTGCAAGTTAGGAGAAGCGATCCTCCTTGCACCTGGTGCTACAATAAACATACCTACTTTATCATCTTCCTGAGGTTATGAAGTTTGATTCTGCATATCACCAGTACACAGGTGGTGCATTTCCAGGGTAAAATGGAGGGTACCAACAGTTGCACATCTACATCCTCATCCCAACTTACAACTTTGTTTTGATTCTGCATATGTAACAACATCCTCCTTAATATCACACTTCTTTTGAATTTCTGGCCTCCCATGGAGATTCATAAAAGCATCCACATACGCTACTTCATCCCACTTATCCATGCTACAGGAACACAACATCAATTGGAATATAGTGCAATGATTCAGCTTTCAGCTCAGCTCCTTTTATTTGGTTTCCCTTCTCTCTCTTTTGTCTTCTTTTCTTCTCTCTCCTTTGTACCAGCAGCAGCGGACAATGAGCATCGTAATGATCTGCAAGGGTGCGTGATGAAGTCCCAGCCCTGGCCCCTACTCTGCTTCTCCTTTATTTTTATTTTTTTATTTTTATTTTTTCTGTTGCACCTCTCTATTAAAGTCAATTTCAGTGAGAGACTTTTTTTTTTTTTGAAGGCCAGTTCTCCACAACTATGTAAAAGAATTCTAGGAACTTATTGGCATAAAACTGAATATGAATGGTTTTGATGTATATTAGTTGGGGTGTTTTGCTAACTCATTGGAGGACTTATGGTGGAGATATCCCCAGCACTGCCAATAAAGAATGCCTGCTCAATAACAGCTTGTTGTTATTGGGTTTTTATTTTGGAATCCTTACCAAGCCACACCTTGTCTCCTACTTCAGTGAGGAGTGTTAGAAAGCAAGGGGGTTTGGAAGCTCTGAATTTTGTTTCAATAGGAGAGAAAAATATTCACTGTTCAGTGAACTCCTGTTACAGTTTCAGAGGATGTGAAGTGCTACACAGTTTAAGCTGAGATGTATTTTAAAGGAGTTTACATTTCCTTGAGACAATTATGTATTCAGACAATGCAAAATACAAATGTGTATTATGGCCAATAGGCTTGTAGTCAGTACTAGGATGATTTTGTCAAAAATCATAAAATGGTTGGGGTTGGAGGGGACCTTTAAAGATTATCTAGTTCAAATTCCCCTATCATGGGCAGGGACATCTTTCACTAGATCGGATTGCTCAAAGCCCTGCCCAACTTGACCTTGAACAATTCTGGTGATGGGAAATCTCTAGGCAACCTATTCCAGTGTCTCACCACCCACATCTTAAAATATTTCTTCCTTATATCTTATCTAAATTTGTCCCCTTTCAGTTTAAAACCATTATCCCTTGTTCTGTCACTATAGACCTTGGTTAAGTCTTTCTCCATCTTTATATTGCTGTCCCGAAAGCGGGGTGCATCACGTGCTGTGCAAGAAGCCAATCCACACAGAGAGTCAAAACATTTGCTTTAATATCCAGTACTGCTCAGAAAAGGGAGCAGGGTAGTATTCCACAAAGCAAGCTCAGTTTCTGGAAACACAAGTGCTTTTTATACCCAAAAACATGCAAAAGAACTTTACCTCTAACATTATTCTATCATTCACACACACAATTGACCAAATGTCAGGTCCTGCACTTTGACCACAACAAGCCCCGGCAGCACTACATGCTTGGGGAGGAGTGGCTGGAGAGCTGCCCAGCAGAGAGGGACACCCACACCACCTCCTGAGGTATATGTAACTGCACAGAGTTCTCCAATCCCCCACTCATCCCCCTTTTGCTTCCCCAGTACACAGGTGGTGCATTTCCAGGGTAAAATGGAGGGTACCAACAGTTGCACATCTACATCCTCATCCCAACTTACAACTTTGTTTTGATTCTGCATATGTAACAACATCCTCCTTAATATCACACTTCTTTTGAATTTCTGGCCTCCCATGGAGATTCATAAAAGCATCCACATACGCTACTTCATCCCACTTATCCATGCTACAGGAACACAACATCAATTGGAATATAGTGCAATGATTCAGGGATCCATTTTGTGGCCACATTTCCCCATATTCATGCTTATTATTTAGCCACCAATGATTACAATACAGTTCCATTTTCTCTTTTGTCATTAGAATGTTCCCAAATATTTTCCAATTTTTAAGGATGCATCCGAGAGGAGAGTCAGGAGGTATCTCACTGGAAGTTTACATGCCCATACTGTAACCGTAAAAGGATTACCACTGTTTCAAACACTCAGCTCTGGCAGAGACAAATACCTCCCTTGCCTTGCCACGCATCTATGTGTGAAACTTCCCCAGATAACCAACTAAGTTTTAAGCTACTGCTGCGAACTTTTGCAACTTAAGTGGAGATGGCACCAATAAACCAACTACTTACAGTGCATGTTCTACCTTCCCCCCCTCCCGCAAATATCTCTTTTATAACGTTGCACCTTTGAGTCAGTTACCACCTGATGCTGGAGAGGATCTGCTGGAGTTCCTCGATCAACAAATTGGTGTTCACTGGAGCCCCAAGTGGTCCAGTCCACCATGGAGAGGCAAGACAACCTGGGTAGGACTGTAAGGCAAGCCCATCTGGGTCACCAAAACTGTTATCCTGAAAGCAGGGGGGGGGTGTCTGTCACCCCATGTGCAAGAAACCAGTCTGTACACAGAGTCCAGATATTTGCTTTAATATCCAGTTCTGCACAGAAAAGGGAGCCAGGTGGTATTCCACAAAGCAAGTTCAGCTCCTCGAAACACAGGGATTGCTTTTATGCACAGGAACATGTAAAATTACTTTAATTATATTCTATCACCTGTATACATGATTGATTGGCTAGTTTTTTGCTTCCATTTAAAGTGACAGTGCTTAAAAATTTTACAATGTGCTCAAAAGTGTAGGGGGCATTTTTTTTACCAGGGGTCCCTCTAGCCTATGGGTGGGTGTTTTAGTATGCTAATGGCACATTAATATATTAATGGTATGTCAATACAATGGATCCAATTAGTCAGTGTTTTCTTCCTTTTGTTCAAGGCTTTCAAAATAAGTTGTGGGGAGTACTCCTTTCCATCCCTTTTGTCCATCTTGCAGGACTGTTTCTCAAGAATAGGTTGTTGACTACTAGGGATGTGTTTTTCTCCAATTCTCACTGTCTTAGTGCTATGTAAGCTGTTTTTTTTCTCCATGTCTCTTTCTTCTCTTATGTGATTTTCCCAAAATTTTACTTATTTCAATTAATAACCTACAGCAAAACAAGACTAAAAGGATGAGCTGATCTAACCTGTTGTTTTAGCCCTGTGCAGCATTGAAATGAATTAACTAATTAGAAGAAATATTTGCTGTCCAGAATCATTAATCTGAAATAGTTGATCTGTAATTCTTCAAAATTGTAGGTGATAACAAGTGTCTATAACTGAAATCTTGGAAAAGGCTTTAAAGCATTGTCTTATGCAAATCTTCTCTAAACTAATGACTTAACAAATTGTTAGTTTGAGTTTTGCAATAGAATCTGTGGGGTTTTACCTTTTAAGTTTCAATATTTTTTTCTACAGTTTTTTTAACGTATCTATAGAGAAGGATTTCTGATATGTGAGTGTGAAGCATTTTGATTTGTTTTATAACAAATGGAAGTTGGTGGTTTGTGCTTTACCTCTGGTGAAGGTAGTGCAGTTTCTTCTACTTTCAAGCAGGGTTTTAAAAATAGTAGTCATTCTTCACTATACTAAGCAAAGTTTTGAGGTTTTTATAATGAGGTTTTTCTATGTGTGTCTGTCTGTGGATGACTTTGATCTGATATACAACTTGCATTGAGAATATGAGGAAAAGTACAAGCCTTAATATTTGCCTGTCTTCTTGCCTACCTGCCCTCTGTTTACTGAATGCATCCAGAATAACATAATATGAAGAGATTTCTCATTGAGCATGAAAGAAAAAATATTTTTATTCACTTCAATGTTTATTTTAACCAGGTCTTAAATCAGGCTATACTTTCTGGTTTGTTTTTCAGAGTGATATAACTGAAAGTGCTTCTCCTATATTTGAGGAAGAACAAATTGATGATTGGATGGTGGATTAATAAATAGCAGTTGTATTACGAAAGTAAGAAGATATTTTGGGAGTTGGGGAGAAACAGATTTTCACCCTAGTCTAGCAGCTTTGCTGCTCACTTAAACACAGATGAATGAAGACCCCATTTGGAAAATCGCCAGGTCAGCGGTCCAGAGCTGATGCAGGTGAGGTGTTACTGAATTTGGGGGGTTTGTTTGTTGGATTTAGTGGATTAAAACATGTCCTTATTTTATGGATACTTTTATGCACTCATGACTTTATGAAGCTGGAACTGTTTGCTGGGGGAGGTGTTGTTTTTAAGTTAAGAATTATTGCTTTAAATATAGAAACTATGGAAGTAAAATTATATACATAAATTGAATTAAACTGTACAGACACATATAAGAAGTTGTACTGTTTTTTGCTGCAACTGAGTTAAATTTATAGTAGCTTACATGGTGCTGTATTTTGGATTTTAATTGTGCTGAAAACTATGTTGATAATACACTGATGTTTTAGTTATCACTGAACAGTGCTTATACAGTGTCAAGGCCTTCTCTCTTTCTCATGCTGCCCCCCTGCAGCAAGTAGACTGGGAGTACACAAGAAGTTGACAGGGGACAGAGCTGAGACACCTTACCCCAAATGACCAAAGGAATATTCCATACCATACACTTTAAGGGGAAAATTTCTCTTTTGCTCATCTCAGAAGTGCTGGAAAATAAGCAGTAATGTATTCACCATATATTTATAACTTGCTGTAAAAATTTAATGATTTTATAGGAATTGATCAGATAGTAATTGTGAAAGATTTTTCTAAATATATACAGAGATTATGGCTATGTTGTGAGTTTTATAAATTTAAATATTTAATCAAAATATTTTAAAGAATTCTTTATCTGAAGAAATTCAAAATATGAGTAGCCATTTAGCCTTTTATGACCTGTTAGGCTAATTCAAAGTTTTGCAGCTTGATAGAATCTCAGTAAATCTTGTGGACTCTGTAGTAAGGTTTATCAGCAATGACACAATAAAAAAACAAGCTACCAGTCAAAAATTATTCTGTATGCTGGTATTTGGTCTTGTATAAACTAAGCCAGACTGCTTTAGCTGTGCATTCTGTTAAGACTAGTGTGCAGGACTCTGGAGAGGGACTTTTAATAAGGGCATGCAGCGATAGGATGAGGGGTAATGGTTTTAAACTGGAAGAGGGTAGATTTAGGTTAGACATTAGCAAGGAATTGTTCATTATGAGGGTGGTAAGACACTAGAACGGGTTGCTTAGGGAAGTTGTGGGTGCCCCTTCCCTGGAAGTGTTCAAAGGGGAGAATCACCTCCCTTGACCTGCTGGCCACACTTCTGAAAGTCTCCCCAGAGCCTTCTCTAGGTTGAACAGCCCCAACTCTCTCAGCCTGTCTTCATAGTAGAGGTGCTTCAGCACCCTGATCATCTTCATGGCTCTCCTCTGGACTCGCTCCAAGAGCTCTATGTCATTCCTGTGGTAGGGGCTCCAAAACTGGACACAGCAGATAGTAATCCGTGCTCTTAAGACGTTGAGGTACCTGCTCAGTAATGTCCTGAACTGCTCCTGGAAGGCAACATACTTCCTGTGACTCCTTGTCAGGGAGTCTAGGACAACTCTCTGCAGCCAACTCTCCACCAGGACATCTCTTTGCTAGGACATCTCTCCGCTGGGACAACTCTATGCCGGGACAATTCTCCGCAAATTGGCAGATGACACAGGGCTCTGCCGGTGTCCCAGTGGAGTGATGTTCCGGTGGAGAGTTGTCCCTTCCTGCTGGCAGATGGACAACTCAGTACCTTTTAACAGAGTCACCCACTATGAGCATACATTTCCTTTTGCGATACCCATTGAGTGCTGCTGGTACAGTTGCTCCTTGTGGACCTTGCTCAGGGGTGTCTATAGTTGTTCATGGTCATAATACTAGAGGATAGAGACTGTGGCAGAGTCCCGGTTTTGCAGGTTGCCAGGGTCCAAAGTGGCTCATTCTCAGTGTTGTCTGTTACCATAACATCGTTCTAAAACCAGCTGCCTATCTCAGACTTGGTTCCTCTAATATTATGCAGCCTTTTAACTGTTTCCTTCAACTTGGCCACCTGACATAACAGATCAATCTGCGTATACTTTGTGCAGGTACTTCCCTTATATCCAGGAGAAGGGTCTGGGCAACCAGTGCAAGCTACTGTTTGTACTGAAGCCTCTTTCCTTACTATTTTATTTTAAAAATAATATATATT